TGCTTCAAGGTCTTGTAGTTAAAAAGCTGTTCATTGTTTGTCTTAACAGGACAAGAAATTTGACCATGTTTTTGTCTTAGATGATCTCTAAAAATATTTGAATATCTTTTTTTAAAGTGTAAAGTATTTAAAGCCATATTTATCTTTAGAATTTTGTAAAGATAGAGCAACAAAAATTCCACAAAACATGAGATCCTTCTGTAGTTTATTATCACACCACATCACATGATTGGCATAAAAGGGACTTTTCTGCTTCACCCTTCTCAGTCAATTTCATATTTTTACTGGGTTGTTAAATCAATAGTATAATCCAGAAATGAAAATGAACATATATCTATGAATGAACAACTCAAAACCAATTAATATTTTAATTTATTCAGCTGAAAGGGAATCTTGTATGGAATATATAAAAACATTTACAATACCTGAATGATAAAAACATTCATTTAGTTAGAACCAGTGCTATTTAGCATGGGTGGCTGGATTTGGGCTCTCTTATCATAGGTATACAGGGACTGTTTGTTTAAGAAATATCTAAAGAACTTTCTATTTCAATTAAGATTTTTGTTTAAAAAAATTTCCATGCTGACAATTGAATAAAAATCAAGTTAACCGTGATATTCTTTATTTTATTTTTATAAAATTATAGCAGTAGCAGTAATAGTGATTTATTTTCTCCAGGATGACCTGTCCCCAACTTAATCCATTGCCATTCATTTCCATTGTGATTGAGTCTATTCACCTTGGTTATCGTTTTCTTTCTTTCCTTCCAATTGACTCAAGATTATAGACTTCTCCCAAGAGCTTGATCTTTGCACAATATGTTCAAAAATATGACAATTTGAACCTGTTCATTTGTGCCCTGAGTGAGAACTGTGGAATTGATTTGTTCAATGATTCATTTGTTTGTTGTCTTGGCTATCTGTGGGGTTCTCAAAAGTATTTCCCAATATCAAAGTTGTCAGAAATCTTCCTGTCTTGGATTTTCAAAGTTCAATTTTCAGATTCATATAATGTCATAGAGAAAAATATATTTCCTGCACAATTCTGATTATGTAGTATAGAGTACCTAAAAGTATGTATATATAGAATAGCATCTGAATATCATTTCCAAGCCTTCATTTCTATTCTACTAAGCGCTACTCTGAGGCATAAGTTATCCCACCATTTCAGCAGCTTTCTTATTAATTGCACCGGTTGTCATTAGTTTGGCCATCTGTATATATAATCTTAATCCCCTGTTTTCACTGTATTCCTTTATTTCATTATTGGAACTTGCAGATCATTTGCATTTTCAGTTATCAAAATAGTGTCATCAGCATCATGCAGATATTCCTCCACTTTTAACTCATGTTCAGCTTCTTCCAATCTAGTGTCCCTTAATATGTATTTAACATATAAGTTGCATAAATAAGGGGCGAGTGCACATCCTTCTCTCTCTTTTGCCAATCTGAAGCTTGTGTGCCAACACTGTGGCTTCCTGATCTTTCTATAGTTTTTGCATGAGGGCAATAGGATCTTTCAGAGTTTTTAAACAGATTCAGCAGTTGGACATGATCAGCACAATGAAAGGCCTTTCTATAATCTCATAAATTAAATATAAACTCATACTGACTTCTTGTTGATATTCTTTGACTTTCTCAATTATCCAGTAATGTCTTATATTCCTCAGCCTTTTCTAAAACCAGATTGAGCATGTGGCATCTCCTCTTCCATGTAAGCATTGTTTTGTTAGGATGTAAAGTTAAGGAATATTTATAATATTTTGCACATTTCTTTCTTACTGATATAAAGACTGACCTCTGCCAATCTGTTAACCTCTATGTTGTTGTCTAGATTTGCTAGTGTAGTTTGGTTGGAACCTTTACCGCATCTTTTTCTGTTGCTTGCCACAATTCTATAAATATTCCATTAATTCCCATAGCCTTCCAAATGATGATGAGGAGAGTGCTGATTTAACATCATCTTCTAATATGAGAGGGTCTTGTAAGTACAGAATATCTTCTTCAGTATCTTGGATGTTGACATCTATATTGTACAGAATCTCAATATACTCCTATTTTTGTTTGACCTTTTTGGAATCAGTTACTGTCTGTCCATTGGTGTCTTTTATCACACCATTTCAAGTTGGAAACTCTTAAATTCAGAGATTTTTGGGGGAAGGCTTTCCTTGTTTTTTCATGCCTGTTTACACAGTGTCTTTATAGATCAGTGGTTCTCAACCTATGGGTCGCGACCCCATTTGGGGTCGATCGACCATTTCACAGGGGTCGCCAAGCAAGGCTGTCTGCCATTTTTTTCCCCTTTTCTGGCGGGTGCCTTACTTCCCTTGGGCTGGGCCAGCTGGTGGTCGGCCTGCTCCGTCTCTGCCGCTTGCCAGCTACGCCTCGGCCGGCGCAGGGGGCGGAACCACGCATGCGCGGCACTCCCGGGCAGGGAAAGTCCTCGACTTATGACCGGTTGGGTAGTCCTCGACTTACGACTGGTTTAGTCCTTGATTTACGACCGGTTTAGTCCTCGACTTACGACCGGTTGGGGGTTGCGGCATTAAAAAGGTTGAGAACCACTGTTATAGATATTGTTGCAATATAGCTTCTTGTCTCTTCTAATAGTTTTCTGAAACTCTTTGTTAAGTTTCTTCCTGAGATCTTTGTCTATCTTGGTTTGAGCTTCTCTTCTCTTTTTGGCAATTTCCATTGTTTATTCTGACAACTGGCTTGATTCCTTTCTTTTCTTTTTCTTTCTTCTTTCCTTCTTCTTTTGTTTCTTTGTCTTTGGCAGTTTCTTTTCACATTCATTCTTAACAACATCTTCAAATTCATTCCACAATTCCTATGGTTCCTTATTGGTGAGATGCAGGACTTCAAAGTGATTCCTAATGTTCTTCTTGAAAATGTTGGGTATATGGTCAAGATCATATCATGGAAACTGGTTGGCTTTCTGCTTCCACTTTAGCTTAACCTGGAACTTGAACATTACCTGCAAAGATTGTAAATGCAAGGACTGTCCAAAGTTAATTTTTCATCAGTGTGGTAATTTGAAAGAGTTGCTAAAGAAGTCAGTTGCTAAACAAGGATTAGCTGTGGTATAGTCTCCTGACTGAAAGTGTTGATTTGCTGATGCATAAAATGTCAATGTGTAAGCGATTCATTTGATTCTTCACTGTGTGGAGCTTTTCTATGTTTATGCTTCTTACATTTTATGCTCCCATTGTAATTCTATCTCTATAGCTTCAGATTTTCTTCTCTTCCATGGAAGCGTCCTGAAGGCTTTAATTTAGTCATTAGTACCCTGAAAGATCCACAGCTCTTCCTCAATAGTGTGTTGAGTGCCATTTGACCTGAGGGGGCCATCTTTCAGCACTATATTGTCTTTCACATTATAATGTTTACTCTTATGGTTTTTTGATGAAATGCACAAGTAGTTTGATAATTGCCTTTTCCTGCCAGTGTGAAATGATGTCACTAAATTGATCATCTGCTTCTAGCATCTTCCTCTATTTGCCCAATAGAGAGGTCTGCTTGTTTTAGCAGGCAGCTGTGATGACCACCATGCCTTAGAGGACCCTGTTAGGATTATATTCTCTTGACATACATTTCTGGCATTCTTCACTCATCCCACCTGCCTCTGCTGCCACAATACACAGAACAGCAGGATTAGGGAGGAGGGGGAGTGTAGTAATAGTAACAGTGAACAAACAACATATGACTATATAATCAAAAGCAAACTCATAATTTGTTGACAATCTGGAGCCTGCTATTATTATTTCAATAGGATGACTAACCAATGTGCAACCTTATATCTTAATTTAGGAGAAAGTTCCTTTAAACTTAATGAAACGTTCTCTAGTTATCTATAGGATTACATTGTGAATTTCACTGAAAAAATGTCTATTTTAAGCAATGAATCAAAACATTATTGTTTATTTGTTATTATTGTTATTGTTTATATTTATATCCCGCCCTTCTCCTTGCGGACTCAGGGCGGCTAACAACCAGATAAAAATGCAAATCCCAAAACTACAGATTAAAACATAATTAAAAACAAATATTAATAATTGGTCTAGTTAATTTAAAATTACTTTAAAACCCCCATTAAAAATTTTCCCCTAGGCCAGTCCTGCAAGCTGGAATAACC